CAAGTAGTAGTGAATGCCCGTTACCATAAATATTTTGCATAATTAAGCACAGCCGAATACCAAACCAGTTAATAATCGTAACTGTTTGCCACTCGCCCAGAGCGATATTAAAACCAACCGTTGAGTGTCTGCATAAAAAATTCAAATTCTTGCCACTCTCAGTTCACATTTCTCACATCCATCTGCAATTTGTCCTTACAATAGAACAGAGATGTATCAGCCAATGTTCCCATATCTGATCATCAATTCCAGATGCGAACTCGTGATATGTGGAAAGAAATGTTAGAGATGCAAGTTGGTGGTAATCGTCCCACAACCTTCCGAGTATCACGTGCTGCCGTCATGACCACAGATATGAAAGCTTACCTCGAGAATCGCAGACGTGAACGTCGTCAAACGTTTTCATGTTGCACTTGCCAACGCGGTCCACCAGGTCCACCGGGTCCACCTGGCCCTGATGGTGCAGATGGCATCGATGGTCCAGTAGGAGACATTGGACCTCCAGGACAACCTGCCATTCTCCCACCAGAATACAATGATCGCTATCCGAAACAATGTCCATGCGAATCACCAGAAGGACCACAAGGACCACAAGGACCACGTGGACCTCCTGGACCTCCAGGAGATCCTGGTATCGAAGGAGCACCTGGTGCACCCGGAGAGCCGGGACCAATGGGTCCACCAGGACCAGCAGGCCGAAATGGACTTCCTGGACCTCGCGGACCACCCGGTCCTCCTGGCCGTCAGGACAAAGGATTCGAAGGACCTCCTGGTCCACCTGGACCGCCTGGAAGACCTGGAGCACCTGGACCTCGAGGGCCACCAGGACCGCGTAAGACCTAACTTGTTTTTGATCCTCACATGAAGCAATATAATTAATCAGAGTGAACATTTACTTCATAAATTCATAATTGCTTGAAAGAAAGAAAGAAACTCGAGAGCAAAAACTGTGCAATGATGACTATTACGAATTAGTAAGGAATTTAGAATTGATCTCATATGAAGTTTATCATGTAATGCTGACTGACATTTGAACATGAAATGGTCGTAATTTAAACTGACAGAATGCATCTCTTACTCTAAATTGAACAAGGGGTTGCAATTCCAGCCGGCAACGATGGTGAGCCAGGAACTCCAGGAGAACAAGGACCACCCGGAAATCAAGGACCTCCGGGCAGACCAGGACCAATGGGTGCTCCAGGTGAAATTGGCGATCCTGGACCGAAAGGACGTTGTGACCATTGTCCACCACCAAGACTTGCAGCTGGCTACAGATAGTTACAAATACATCGAAGCTGCTAATTTTCAACTTATCATCTTCCCATTTATTTTCTTGGCTCATTCAACTTTCAATTTCGATTTTCTTCCACTGTTCGACTAAATGAAAAACATGCTACGAACGCTCATTTTTTACCAAGTATAATATTCTTCCCTATTGCTTCTACCCTTATTCCACAATATACGTCCGACGTCAATATTAATCTATAGAATGGAAATTCGTTCTATTTTCTTTTATTGATAAACTTAATTCGCACCATTCAACGAGCCTTACACATTAAAATACTTAATTTCATATTCAATGAACATAAAAATTGACAAGAAAGAGAAATTATGTTTAACAATGTTCCACTAAACTATTTATAAAGGAATGAAAATAACAGTAATATTTCGAATACATTTCATAACTGTCGATGTTTTTGCATCAGTCCATACTGCGTCAATGTTGACCAGCTCCGTGAAAAATGTTAAATAACGGTTTCGAAAATTGAACTTTCTCACTTTTAGACTGTTTTAGGGTTATTTAGACTATTTTATGTTTTGGAAATGCACAGATTAGTACGAACGTTGGTATTTTCATAGTATTTAGTAAAAACTACCCCGGTAACCATATCTAAACTGGTTGGAAACCGTAATCAATTTGAAAAAAGCACATCTCAGAGTACAAAATTTTCTTCATTCAAATACTCAAACCTCAGAATAACTCGATAAAATGAGTGTGAGGTTTAGTAGTAAAATAAGCGTTCGTCCATAATGCTGAGAAAATGTATTGGCCTGAATTCATGATATACTACAAACGAAACTGAAACATTTACAGTATTGAACAACAGAACAGTTAGCTTAATGTGGGCATTACCACAAAGAGTTTGTTTCGTTGGCAAAAATTTTAGTTACTGGTAAAGGGAATTGGTAAATTTGACTGATTTTGACTACGAAAAATGATGGAAATATTCCTTAATAAATTAAAATTACATTGTAAATTATTGTTCGTTAATTAACTTGTATTGCTTATCAAATGTGCAAAGGTATTCATTCGATTATTGCAGTCGATCCGCCTTTGGTCTCGGTCGCACGACCGTTACGTTTCAAAATGTGTTATAACATTCACTATAAAAGATGAATGATGACTACTTTTTTCAGTTGTGAATTGCATAGTTACGTTGTTTCGGTTTTTATAAATGTTGAATTGCATTTTTTCTTTCATCGAAATTTTCACCACTTGAAATTTGCTTAAGAAGCTGAAATAATATCTTTATTCATAAAACCCTTAATTGAGCCATTACGCTACCAGTCAAATGCTGGTTTTAATCGCATACTCTCCTTATTTTAACATGGCACCTCTCAACCAAGCCATAATGTTGGGCAAGCCAACAGGGCCTTCCCGATATTCAAAATACTTCTTATCAGCCATCCCGATATTCGAAAGTCTCATTTGAAATTCAAACCACTTTTCCATGGTGCTGCTCCTCTTTATTACTACCATAGAACCAATTTTGTCCAGTATTTATTCGAAATATCCAGAAAGCCTCATGAGAGCTGTGAAAGTTTAGTAAGGATAAGTACGGTCTCTTATAATAATACTACGAAAATAAGGCAAGATTACATAATAAGTTGATGAAGTCAAAAACTTAATGAAACCAGTCTACTGTAGTCCTGCCGTAATATTCAAATCTTTGATTTTAATGAAATTTCAGCTTTCATTGTTATATTATATAGTTGGTTGTTATTTCATAGCTTAAATTTTGTGAATTCATTAAATCTTGCAAATCTTTTTGAGTGTCGTCATTCGTCAAGATTGAATAGTGATTGTTTTCTGAAATAAAGGCATTAGCGACTGTGAATATAACGCTCGCAATCTTATTAATTAGTATCATAAAAGAGAAATTGAGGATGGAACAGGAGAAGCAACGTCCTCACTCGATGAAGACATCAGCATTTGTGGCAATCGTATTAGCCACAGCAGCGATAACAACATGCCTAATTTCATTCCCACTCATTTTCAATTATGTTCAATCGCTAGAAAGCCAAGTACAGGTGGAACTTGATTTATGTAAGGTACGTGGTCTACTGGTTAAACACGCTTCATTGATTTATTTATTTAATCAGCAATTACAGGTCATTGCGAGTTTATGCCTCTCTGTTACCACCAATATCACTAATATCACGTTCTTCCTTCCGTAACATCCCTCTTTAACGCTATTATCGTAGAGATTCATCCGGCTTCATGATAGTTCAATTTCGACTATTGACTTGGCGAGTACAGAGGTGTTAGGCTAGTCTCTCAGATTGCCCACTGATTTCTAGGGAAAGGGATTCAAAATGAGTAAGAAAATACACTCCGCTTGATCGACTGAACATGTGCCCAATAATCGCTCAGAGTAGCTGTTTAAAACAACCGACAGTATTAAAGCAGTAATCTTTCGTGATCAATAGTAAACCACGATTTTAATCAGTGTAGCCGAATAGATCCATATCGATCGGCATATTGAACATTCCAAAAGCAAGTAGTAGTGAATGCCCGTTACCATAAATATTTTGCATAATTAAGCACAGCCGAATACCAAACCAGTTAATAATCGTAACTGTTTGCCACTCGCCCAGAGCGATATTAAAACCAACCGTTGAGTGTCTGCATAAAAAATTCAAATTCTTGCCACTCTCAGTTCACATTTCTCACATCCATCTGCAATTTGTCCTTACAATAGAACAGAGATGTATCAGCCAATGTTCCCATATCTGATCATCAATTCCAGATGCGAACTCGTGATATGTGGAAAGAAATGTTAGAGATGCAAGTTGGTGGTAATCGTCCCACAACCTTCCGAGTATCACGTGCTGCCGTCATGACCACAGACGCAAGGGATTACATCAGAAAACGCAGGCTTCAGCGTCGCCAAGCTGCCGAGAACTGCTGCACTTGCGAACGCGGACCCGCTGGTCCTGCTGGTCCACCAGGCCCCGATGGGGCAGATGGTATTGATGGCCCAATAGGGGACATTGGACCTCAAGGACCAATGGCCGTTGCGCCACCAGAAATGCTCAAGCGTTATCCTGATCAATGCACATGCGAAGCCCCTGAAGGACCGCAGGGAATACCTGGACCGCGTGGCTCTTCGGGCCAAGTTGGTGATATGGGAACAGCAGGATCAGCCGGTGCACCTGGAGAAGGAGGACCACCAGGACCAGTAGGACCCGCCGGCAGAAATGGTCAGTCGGGACGCCGTGGTCCCCCGGGTACGCCTGGAAGAGAAAATAAAGGGCAGCAAGGGCCACCTGGACCTACTGGACCCCCAGGAAGACCCGGAAATCCAGGACCGCGGGGGCTTCCCGGACCAGGCAAGTTTTGCAATAAGCTTAGATCATTATTCTCCGTATTTTTCAAATTCCTCCAGCAACAACAACGCAATTTAACAAAGATTCTGAACCAGGCGCGGAAGCAAACGCAGGCCCTCCGAGCTGACCGGATCCTCAAAGCCCAATATGACCCCAGCGCACCACTGTACTATCACACGCTCATTTCAAATCTATTTACGAACATCATTTTATGCCGGTTTTTCGCGTTAACGGCAACAAGGTGCTTTTTGGCACGCTCGAAAAATATCACAGCAACATTCAGTAGTCGGACCTAAGACCTGCATACAGATTTCCCCAATCCGGACTGCTTCAGATCCGAAATTTTCGAAAATGTGGAGCTAGAGAGGAAAATTGAAAAATACGAAGCTGCAGCTGGAGTCGAAAATTTCAAAAACGCAGAGTCGAAGCTGGAGCTGGGTCAATTTTTTCTAATTAGGAATCACTGGTCGCTACTCACGGTTGCAATGAAAAAAAAAACAAACTTTGTCTTGATGAGCATGCTTGGTGTACTGGAAAGTGAGGTGGTTCAGTTATGCGTGGTAAGAGTTCAATGACGGTGCTAGAGCTGTTTATTTTCTGACGTGTGATAGCTGAAACCACTCATCAGAAAACTCTGTGCACTGAAAAAAAGTTGTGCATATGAGAGCTAATATTTTTATTTGAACACGAGATGCTACGTTTGCTGCTGTAAACAACTAATTAGATTAACAAGAAAAGAGACAAAACAAACTTCTTTTTTACAGTAGGTATATCGTAAAAATAGTAATTCAGTACAGTTCATTCCGTCACAAGCTTCATCTAGGAAGGTAAGCTGCAGAGATGTCAAAAACAGATCTGCAATGCTATGTTATGTGTACTGGATATAATTGGTGAACGCATTTGCTGAAACGCTTTAGATAAAACCTCGGAGCATAACCATAAAAGGCTACATTTATCGATAATGATCATAGAACGAGTCCATTCAATAAAAAACAAGAAAGGATCACTTCATTGCAAAGCTAATGAACTTTTGCATTTCCCAATTATCGTCATTCACACATTTATCATCCTTCACACATCATTTCAGCTGGTACTGACGGTGAAGCGGGCAGTCCTGGAGATGCAGGACAACCTGGCAATAGCGGATCCCCAGGTCAGCGAGGACAAATGGGTGCTCTAGGAGATCCAGGTGATGACGGTCCAAAAGGAAAGTGCGACCATTGCCCACCACCTAGACTTGCATCTGGATATTAATTTCATCACGTTTCTTCTCCATAAACAATCTTCGTCACAAGTTTTGGTTACAGTGAATAATTTGACCCTCAGAAAAACATGTATCCTATCCAAAACAAATATATGGTCACCGCAACTAATTATATCTATATTGAAATTTAGCTCCAAATGAATAACACCGATCTGGCTTTACTGTACATCAGTGTATTATTGTCATTTGACAACACCTTCACCGCTGCATATTCCACCATTCCACATTACATGTCCGATGTGGAATATTACATAATGCAGAATATGACGGTTCATCAGTGCAGTCAATTTGAACTGTCGAATGAAACAACAAGAAGTGCGTTATGAATTGAAACTTACATTTGACAATTTGAAAAGACACACGAATCAAAGAACTGAATTACGAAAAAATTATTAAAGTAATCGCACTAATAAAAGACTGACATCATTACGGATACAGATCAATGTGTACATTACTGTAAAACAACTTCCAAACACAACAATAACCTGATTTTGTCATATGCACAACATTAATCTATAGAACAGGGTTTCCCATAGGACATACATTACCCTCTGGTGGGTAATTTGGGGATGTCATGGGGCAATTGGGGGTAAAATGTACTTGTCGGTAAATATTAATTTTTTCATCCCTGGCGAAAGGTTTCTTTCATTGCTTTTCGTTGTTAACTGCTGAGGTTCATATTCTTTCTGCAATTGATAAATGAATTTCTGAGAATACTTGTTTTACTGCGGAAAATTCATTTCTTTTACGCCACTAAAGAATTTCGAGGCCGGTTTCCGACTTGCTCCTGATGCTATGCGTCGAAATGGTAAATTCTTGTAGTGAGGGGAGGGGAGGGATGGAAGGAGTAATAACGTCTTGTCAGACCATCGAAGGAAATGATGGAGCTTCCAACGTGAGAAACACTGCTACAGAGTAGTAATGGCCGACGGTCAGTAGGAAAAATCCGACAAATTTCGATCGGAACTCCGACGTTCGGTCGGATTTCGACCGATTCGTTCCTACAGTCGGTCGGAATTCCAAATGTCGTAATGTTGAAAAGTCGGGTTGGTCGGACACCAACCGAGCAATTGCGACAATCGGTCGGAATTTCGACTGTTGGAATGTTGAAACATGAATTCGGTTGGATTTCGACCGAAGTGAAATTTTATTTGGATGCCATCACTATTATGTGGTGATGGTATCCGACCGACAATCGGTAGGAAAAACCTGACAAATTTCGGTTGGAATTCCGACATTCGGATTCCGATGGAACAACTTGAAAGATCAGTCGGAATTCCGAATGTTGGAATGTTGAAAAGTCGGGTTCCAACTGATACGAAATTTCACTTGGATACCATCACTAGTATAGAGTGAGCAAGGAATCGAACAAAGTGCTAAAGGATACGAACAAACTATCGTTCCTCTTCTATGGTATAGACAGTAGCAACTGACGGAATTAAATCGTGAATTTCAATTTATACTCAGCAAATGCGCTAGTTCACTCTACGACAATGACAAATAACAGCAATACGGGATCTTCGCAAGAAATACGAAATCACTATGAATAAGGCAGTACTCACTGACTCCAAACTGTGAATTGTTTTGAATTCAAACTCCGAATCCAGAGATAATTTATGGAATTCGCAAAAATGGCATTTTTCGAACTTCATCATTCACGAGTGTGCTTCTCTAATGATATCACAAATACCAACAGGAATCTAAAGTGAACAGCTATTATACGTTCGATACTTCCTAAAAATAGGCCCTTTAGAACAGCAATTTTGCGTTAACATATCGATGAGAAGCACTGATTATGACAAACGGATGAATTCAGCATGGACAATCGCATACGTTACAATCGACGGGGTGCGCTTCTTTGTGTCAGTCATCCAGAGTAACGTCACGAAAAAGTTGACCCATACTCTCGCCGTGATAGATACGTCTGATCGCTTCGGAAATCATTAGAGATATATCTACCGTACAAATTTTATGGCATCGCAATTTTTGCATATCATGTGGCACAGAATTTGTTACGACGACCTGAAATAAATATTCAAAATGAAAAATGGAGTACATGAAGAGTGAATGATTGAATAAGGATGATGAATAGATTGAGGGCATTTTGCGCGTCTGTTTTTATGGCTCCATCTGGCTCTGCTCGCATTTGGTTTGCTCACTCACTGTCCCCATCATTGTTGAAAACAGCATATGAAATAAATGCTACTTACCTGGTCGATAGAGCTTTCTTCCAGCAAAGCAGGTGCATCTGCTGACAGTAAACCATGAGTTGCGATCACGTATATTTTATAGGCGCCTCGTGCTTTCAGTACCTAAATGCATCAAAAATTTCTCGATTACTCGAATACTTTGAATTTACGTTCGATACTTATATCTGGAAGGAACACTGAATATGGGTTATTGTCTTTACTCGCTATACGTCACATCAGTGGTTCTCACGCTCGAGTGCTTCATTATCCCTTCGATGGTCTGGTTGGCCATCATTACCCCTTTCCCTTCCGCTACAAGAACTTGCTATTTCCACGCATAACGCCTCACTCATAAATATTTTAAGGAATGCAATCTAGAATCCCAAAGCATAATGACCGCATGGTACACCTTCGTTACAACAGTTAGATAGTTCAAAAAAAAATTGTTTAGCAAGCAAAAATCCCATTATATGCAGTCACTCGAAAATTTACCAAAACTTTTCAGTGCAACCGAATAATAAGATTCGATCAATTCAAGAATATTCGTTCACTTTGCACCAAACCAAAAATCTTCTCTGCAGTACCAAAGAGTTCAATCAATTCCTACTTCTCATAAGAGACGATGTCGTCCAACATAAGAGACGATGTCAGAACTTATAAAATACTTGTAACTACTTCAGATCAGTTTCTGTTTAGGCCTAGATGAGCTAAAGATACTCAGAAAATAGGAGAAAGAAGAATGTTGCCAAGAGCGAATCGTGTACACACACTCAAGTGAAAAAAGATCATCACAATGACGTTCCATCATCATATAATAACCACACGAGATACTAATTTCCCGATCCCCTCCATCACCCATTTGACACCCCCAAATTACCCAAAAGGAGATAATTCCTCCGATGAGAACCCCTGTATTAGATGGAATGAAGCATTGTTACTGATTTTGACAAGTGCATCGTTCAAATAACCTCAGCAGCAGCAACAAACGATTGTGCCTCATCTATAATATCATCAACTATGATCGCAATTCGACCACCCACATCTCCAACAACTGTTAGAGGTGGCTTTTCTTTAGCAGCCTGCTGTGGGAATAATTCATATTGCGCCATTGAAGCGGTGCTGAGAGAACCTCTTCGATGTTCTGAAATGAAGAAACGAACAAATGAACAAAAGAATTGTGATAAGACTAGCAAGTCTGAATCAAAAGAATACTTCTTCAGATTTGACTTCAATAAATAAGCATTTATTCGCGCTTTGGAATCAGTTATAAGAGAACATGATGTAATCAGTTGATCAGTTGAAAATAATCTACCGGATAGGTGACAGCTTGGAGGAGGCGACTGTCGACCGTCCTCCACGAGCGATTCACATTCCTTTGGTTCACCATGAATTACTGCCACGCCAAGCCTGAAATTGATAACTTCGGAAGAATGAAATGCGATACTTCTGTGATAACTGAAGGGACAAACGAAGCACGATAAGTATCCGACGCAGAAACTGAAACTATGGAACAAATCTTGCGAATAATGATGGTTGTTGCATATTGCCTTACCTGATATTGATATTTTAAAATGTGAACAAATTCGAGCACTGCTCTTCTTGGAGGAACAAACTAGGGCGCAAACGAATAAATCAACCTGAGTCTGTCCGCGTAACTGGTTGCTTTGTTCATGACACCTGGACTCTTGGCCACAACGACGGCATTCTTGTAATCAGGAATATTTTCGCGTATATAGGCAAGAAGAAATGGTGAGGCACGCAAATTATCAACTGGGATTGAGAAGAAACCTTGAATCTCTTTCCTGACAAATCCATCAATGAGTCGTTTGTACGTGCGTATCAAGTAATTTATAGAATGAACGAATGCATTGCATGCTTAAAAATACACTCTGACTTTACTGTTTTATGCAGAATAGTGTTGTTATTTTACCAATTAAAGAACACATTATTTGAGGCTCAAGTACACTTGAGGTTTATAAACCTAAAGAACAGGTGAAGAAACTGAGGATGAGCAAAGTATTGGCGAAGGCATAGTAAAATATGTTCTAAAAGTTGCCGAAATCTTCATTTTCGAAGTATGGCAAAATTTCCAGTTTTGCATTAATATGAAGTTGGTTCATAAATATTTTGTATATTGATAATCATCGTTAATTTTCTGCAAAAAAAGGTACTTAAAAGCTGCACATATCAAGAACATTAATACGAAACAAAACTGAAAATGTGGAAAATTCTAAAATTATTAAATTTTCAAAAACCTATAGAGATCAAGTGAGACGAGACGTGTTGCACCACTTTTGCAAATCATATCGGCTATTAACTTCATTGGAATCGCAGATCTGCAACGACGAATGATGATCTCTGATCTTCTGGTGGAAAGCATGGGAGAATATTAATGTCAAATGAAATGAATTGTTGCTTGATCTTTTTTGAACGAAATCAGTTGAGAACTTTGTAAAATGTGACTGTGCTTTCCCAGTTGTCACAGAGTAATTTTTTTTGGCGTTCCATCTAATCGCCAAGCAAAAATCCTAGTCTTTTTCATAAGTTTTGTGAGCGATATCGAAAAACTTTAAACTGTTAAACTGTTTTTCTGGATTGTCTATATTCCAGAAAACGAACTGACATTGTTGAAAAAAAAGATAATGAATAACAGGTGTCAGTTGTTAACTAAAAATAACAACAGCTGATTAAAACAATTATTTTGGTTCACTTGAATCAATCAGAACACAGAAAATAAGAATAAATGAGAAACAAAACTATCCAAAACAAATCGAATAATTTCTCTGAACCATCTCACTTCTTCTGATCAGTTGATATTGCGATCAATGCAAAGTCGATCATTCAGCACGTAATTGCATAATTAATAAATTACAAACGAACCAACCTCCGTAACATCCTACATTGTTTCGAGTAAGGCAAATACGGCAGAATAACCGTAATTGTCTTCGCAGACGATGTTTTGCAGGCATGCATCAGAATCAGCATCTCCATTATATTGTTATTCACGTCTATAACCATGGAAAACAATCATCATTTAATGATCAATCCCTCAGTAATTCACTTCTTTTGATCTTTCGAGTGAAATGGCAAACACATACTCACTTAATTCGTTTCCGTTCCTTTTCAACCTTAAGCTTGACACTAGTCAGGATTACGATACTACTACAAAGAAAGCACTTCGAACGTGGACGTGCAACACGTCGTAACTAGGCATAATTTTAGAGTGAAGTAAACGAACGCATTCAGATTGTAAATTACACCTTTAGAAGCGGATTGAAGAATATATACATGCTTGCCTCGTACGCTTTGTTTGATATCCACAGCAGTTTCCCTGAAACTCAGTTAAACTGGCGTTTTGTGAGCACTGAATATTTCGAAGTGCTTCGGAGCTGTTATTAACTTTCGCAAATGAAATGGACAACGTTCCAAAAGTTGGGAATAGTCGGTTCTGCAGAATGAAAACTGTACAGATTGATTTGTTACTTACATATACGACAGACTGATTGAAACAGATAAATAAATGTTTTCACCATTCATAAACTATCAAATGAATTTCACCTGTTAGGTTTATTGTACACGATAGCATCTCCAAGCTTTATGCCGAGTCTTTCGGAAACCAACTGAGCCAGTTTCGGGTGTGAATTACCCGTTAGAACTACCATACCACTGCTTTCATCCGACATAATATCTGATGGCATTACGATGACCTGAATTATAGCATATTTCTCAGATAAATTTGATCGATGAGCAGCAAAAACGATGCTTGTTTTTTTTTTCAAAATACAGACAGATATGATTGCTTGGTGTGAATACATGGTCAAAATTGGAAAATTGAAGTGCATTTGCTCCGAGAATATTCGCATTTGTGTGATCGAAATTGCCTTGAGAAATCATGAAAGACTGAAGTTCATGAGCATGTCAGCTTGGTCATCTACTAAGTGACTGCAACGAAATGGCTACTCAGTGAAATGTGCAGTCTTAATTAGTGATGAGAACCGACAGATTTTTTTCGCTGGCCAACGAAAATCGGTAGTCACCGATAGGCACATTTTGAGCATCGGTCAGTTGCCGATCGGCGGTTTGTCACCGCCACGGATCAAACAATCCCCATCGGTCGCGGTTGGTGGCCACCGAAAAACCATCGATGGTTACCGACCAATTTTCAGTGGCCACCTACCCAGTACTAGTTTCAATAGGATACAATAAGTAGTTAATCGTTCCCCAAAAAAATTTTAACGGAACAGATGAAGAGGATGGTACTACCACAATTTTATATCTGTCTTCATTTCTTCATGATTAAGATCACATGCTCTGAAAACCTAAATGATTTGTTAGGACTTTCTAATTCATGCTCTGCTTTAGGAAAGGAATAATCGCAAAATTATGATTTAATAAATTGTCTAATGCAAGCAATTTGATTAACATGGAATTTCTTACGGTTGGAATTTTTTAATATACTGATGTACAAAAATGGCGCAAATATTATTCAAAAAATAGAAACTCTTTATGGTGGCCAATATTTAATTTCATAAGATTAATTGCTATATCCGAGAAATTGTCGGTGTTGGCAAGCGAATGTTCCTAACTAGAAGTGCGGACATTTTTGCGCGAACTTTGTCTCATATTACAAGTGGTATAAAACGTAAAACTGATTAGAAATAGCCGAAAATAAATGAACGAAAAACGAAAATGGCCATTATCCATGCGCAGTTGAGAGATTCGCTTATAAATATAGATTGATAACAACACATAAACAATATGTGCTTGCTGTGTGATGACCTCAACATATACATCATCTTGATAAGTGTGGATATACTAGCAATGACAATACACCCATTCGTTCATTTACATCGTTGAGCTATAATCAATTTAAGCATATTCAATCTGCATCGCCTCTAAACAAACCAATTTCCCTCATTTTTATAACCATGAAAATTCAGTCGCACGTCAGTGCAATGTCACCAATTTCGAGGCAGAAAATCCAAATTTAGTCAGTCAGTAGTTTAAGAGAAGTTGAGAAAATCAACAATAGCAATTTGCAATATTTTGAGAATTTGAACTGCGCAGATAGAACACAACGTGGATCGCATTCTCCATGATCAATGCGTTGAAATAGGAAACGTCAAAAGTGAACGAAATGATATCATTAACAGAAGTTGGGCACCGCATGCCCCCAGAAAAATCTCAGACTTGGTGGTTTTGATTTCCTTGCATCGCAAATCGAATCAGCATGACCTTTCTTTATCCCTCCACAACCCTTACATCCAAACTACTCGTTTTAGTTCGACATATTTCAGTGCTTAGCACAGAATAATCAGCGCCTGACATTCATTTCTCGATTGGATTTTGTTTTGGAAACAAATCTTCAGTAAAGATGACTAGTACAGCCGTACTAAAAACACTAGCAACAGTGACACATATAGAGAAAAGCGAATAAATTCAACGAAAAAACGAAACATTAATAACTTGATGAATGTTTTAATATAAACGAGGAAACGATATGCCGCAAGAAGCTAATGTACAAGATATAGTTGTTGAATGAAGTGATTTGTCTATCTCAATCTTCAAGTGCACTGGTAGAAAGCAGCCAACAAGCAGTCGTCGTCAGGTGCAGTCATCTATAAATAATGTAACTGCTGCTACCGCTACTGCTACTGCTGCTAATGCCTTCCTTCACTTCATATGATCACATCACACTACGTAACAACGTTAACAAACATAATTTCTCGAAGAAAACTTCTCAGCAAACATCAAACGCAAACGCATAACACATATACACGCATAAATCCACATATCTATTATGCACTCTGCCATTTCCAACTATTTTATCGTTCAACCTCTTTTATAGACATTCTTCAAATTACTTTATTTAACATGATCCAATCAAAAACCACTAAATAGTAGAACAACTTTCCTAATATGGCTGATTAACACGTTGTTTTCAAAATGATTGATCTGACCGGGAAGGAACATATTATATGAAAACTATTGCTCCAAAACATGTTGATGCCCATATTATGCACTGCTTCCTTTTTTATCGTATTTTGCTTACCTCTCTTTAATCGTTCAGTTGTTAGGCATAGCTGTTGATTGTGTCTCGTGCTCATTATTGCACCGTTCCTCAATTTGCATTGTTTGATGCCCACAAACAGTCGTATAACCATATTACCTGAACGCTTTTCTAGGTAGTTTCGTTCCAAGGGAAACACTTAATCAATTCTCGTATAACGCTTAATTTCTGAGTGCGGGAAAGCAAATTGCCGTTCATTTTTTGTTTCTCATTCGTACTTCAAGCAAATTTCAATCATTCAGCATTAGTTCAAATAACACCTTTATCATCGTTTGCCAGTTGTCTAAACAACAATCCAAAGCCCTTAAATTGTTTAGTTTCATTTGAGCGGTGCTCAGTCGGAGGAATACAGCACTGATCTACTCAATGAGTGGATCGTTTCATCATGTACCTAGTCATAAATGAGTATGTGTTAATATTCTCTAAAGAAAATCGCTCTTTTCCATTGCATTTGACAGCAAATGCGCCATGATGCCGATCACATGCACATGCAAAGACAATTGTGCGTCATTATTGCAGAATGAAAAGACTCTCCAATTTCATCTTTCATCTGTATCATGATAATTAAACTCATCATATATTTACAATTTCTGCAAATGCTTCATTTAATGCATTAAAAACTGCACACACATTTTATTTAAATTATATAATATGTTATAATACATCACGGTACACACAATTTATAAATTAGGGTACCAAATTTTTGTGTCGAGAAAAATGAAGCGCTGAAAAGTGCAATTTCCAGCTCAAAAAATATGCCTATTGATTTAAAAACAGCTGCGTGAATTTCTCTCCGAAAATGATTTTGAAAGACCGTTGGTTGGAAGTTTTTTCGCTTTATGCGCTCGTACTGCACGAATTTCGACTATTGAAATTTTGTTCGTCTCACTCTTCAAAATTATACCTTTTTAACCGAAAAAGAGAACGCTGTAAAACTTCATCGAAAGAAAAGTCGTTGAAACCTCGCGCCATATACATTCTTCATTCAGGCGAATTAAGCAAAAGAAATCAGTTCAGTCTAATCACATTCCAGACTAATTTTTTGAGACGAAATATCACAAAAATTGCTTGCACACTGAAGGGCATTTTTTGAAGGGCGAGGTTGTAGAAGTACGTAAATTGCACTTAATGTGACTTACATGAAGAACATGTTGATCCAGCCATCTTTCGAATCAATTTTAATTGCGAAATTTTGTCTAGCAGTAGGTTGTTTCTATATATATA